ACAAAAGATATATGGGAAAAATTTCCGGACCAAAACTTTTGTCCGGTTTAGAGAGAATTCCGGTATACTGAGGGTCCGGTATATATATATATATATATATATTACGCGAGGAATATTTTCATGGACTTTTACTATTATTTCCAGCGTGTCAACTTTATACCCTCGGGATTTTATGGTGAGTGTATTTTTGAACGGCCTAAGATACAAAAATATTTAACTAATAATTTCGAAGAAAGACTATATCCAAATCCGCATTTACGATGCGAAGACTTCCGTCGTATACTCGGGTCGGTTGCCGAAGGAAATGCGTTAAATTGGTGTACAGTGAGCTCCAAGTACGGGTCAGAACAAGCCAGGTAGTATGTGAATACAGGCAAATTTCATGGCTTAAAGACACGAAGACTAATCTCTAATGCGACTTTCTCGGTTCTATAGGAATGTGAGAGAAGGGTTATGACTAAAATTTGGCGCTGGAAAGAAAATTCGAAGACGTACGAGGTTTCAAAGACTCGTGATGGTTCGCTTTTGGGGCTTTTGGGATCCCGAGTCTCCAACCTTCTCTTATTTCTTACTGGTGGAGAAAAAAATCCTTAAAACGGGCTAGATTCAAAAAATAACCACACAGAGCGAACTAAAGAAGTGCTATTTCTCAATGATMGGGTAAAATTTCGAGGCTTTATTTCACGTTTCAATGATTTTATTGAAATTTTTGAATCCCCATACATTTTCTTATAACATGACACCACAGAAACCAAGCTTGGGCTACCTGTGTTCTGATGCGAAATGTTCTCCGTCCACACTAATACGGCTAGCCGGCGTTTTCAAATTGTTCCACTCTGGAGACCGTATTCGAAAGAAAAATCGTTTTCGGTGAAGAATTGTTCCGGATTCGCCCGGACTAGTGTGGACGGTAGGCCTAACCGAATATATAAAAATTAGGATTCAAATTTATCCGGCAATATGTGGACGGGGCCTAAGGCAACCAATAGCACAAAGTTAGTAATTAGTTAGCTATCTATTTCACGGGTATATTATTTGCACTCTAATAAAAACATAAGGCAACAGCTTCAATATTAACTTCATCTTATGATAATAATATAGTAATAATAACATAGCATGACGCCTTGTTTTCATTTGAAAAGCGTTTCAAGTTTCCAACCCCCATTTTGATCCCTAAAAGCTTAAAAAATAAACTGATTTCAAAACAAATAGCTAAAAAAAATGAATTGATTCGAAACAAAATATAAAAATTTACATTTAACGGTATTAACGTATTATTATATGAATTGATTCTTGTCGAATTCTGTTGGCTACACTATTTTTTTATTTCCGCCCGCCGCCATAATTGTGAGCCAGTAGTTCCTGCGTCCAGCGTTAGGTCTTTGAAGAGCCTCACTTTCATTATTTCACAGTTCGCTTGCAAATGACAATACACCCAAGAAGAATGATGTCAGCATCCCTATTACAAGATCATCAGTAACGCTGTTGTAGCTAAGTAGCTATTACCGTAATTTTTGTATCCGGAAATTTTTGTATCCGCAAATTTTTTTGCGGATACGAAAATATTTGCGTCCACACGCAGCGTATTCGAATCGTTTTCACTGTCCACACGTATCCGGAAATTTCTTGATCCGCCCTGATGCACGCTAGTGCCTAGTTCCTTTGACGGATAGTTTTCTTATTGAGCATGCGCAAAATCGTGTTTACGTCAGCGTATTCAAAAATTTGCTGATACGATCATCCACACGTATCCGTATTCGGAGCGTATTCGAAAATTTCCACTCTGGAGACCGTTTTCGAAAATTTCCGGATACGGATACAAAATTTTCCGGACACGTGTGGACGCAACTCGTATTCCCCCCCAAAAAATTGCGGATACAAAATTTCCGGTACGTATGGACGGGGCCTAAAACGCAGTACATGTATATATAAAATCCAATTTATTCAACATGACTTGTTATTTACTTGCACTTGACGATATATAAAATATTCTTATAGACTTTTGGATTTTAATTCTACTAAAAAGGGACAGTACATAACAATATTTATCTTAAGATTCCATCTGATCTGAAGAAGCAGAGTACTTTATACTAAGCACATTCCAGGTCTCATTAATCTTTGCCGTTCGAAGCGTCATGTTCTCCTTGAATTTGCTTCAAAAAGATAATGGAGAGTTATTAAAAAAATATCTATGAGAGTTCTTGAGCAAGGATTAGCCTGTTTTAACTTTTTTAAATGAAGCATTTCGATCTTAAAGCGAGCTATA